GTCTGTTTCTCAAACTAGACACTCTAATGTATTTGTCCTCTTGCTCAGTTGTGCAGTTTGCGCTGTACTGTGAAGGGAGTAGTACACAGCGTTGTACGAGATCTTCAGTTTCTCAGAACAAGAATAGACTGATGAGTTTCCGAAGAAAGTTATTTGTTTCTGGCCATTTTGAGCCTGTAATTGAACTCACAATTGCTGTTGCTCCAGATACTCAACTAGTCTCAAGTAGGCCAGTTTTATTGCTTCTTTAATCAGCACAACAGTTTTCAGCTGTGCTAACATAATTGCAAAAGGGTTTTCAAATGATCAATTAGCCTTTTAAAATGATAAAGTTGGATTAGCAAAGACAACGTACCATTGGAACACAGGATTGATGGTTGCTGATAATGGGCCTCTGTACGCCTATGTAGATATTCCATAAAAAAATCAGCCGTTTCCAGCTACAATAGCCATTTACAACATTAACAATGTCTACACTGTATTTCTGATCAATTTGATGTTATTTTAATGGACAAAAAATTTGCTTTTTCTTTCGAAAACAAGGACATTTCTAAGTGACCCCAAACATTTGAATGGTAGTGTACGTGGTGGAAGCATTGCCAGCCATTACAGCTGTGAATAATATTCTACCAACTTTGCACAGCTCTTAAGGCAACGTACAGTTCCTTTCAGAAAGTATTCATACCCCTTGACTTATTCCACATTTTGTTACAGCCTGAATTCAAAATGGATTAAATAAATACAAATCACACTATCTACACACAGTCCCCCATAATGACAAAGTGAAAACAACTTTACATTTTTTAATTTTTAATTGATTGAAGCATCTTTGGTGTCGATTACAGCTGTGAGGCTTTCTGGGTAAGTTTCTAAGCGCTTTGCACACCTGGATTGTACAATATTTGTCCATTATTCTTAAAAAATGCTTCAACCTCTGTCAAGTTCATTGTTGATCATTGCTAGACAGCCATTTTTAACTCTTGCCATAGATTTTCAAGTCGATTTAAATCAAAACTGTAACTAGGCCACTCAGGAACATTCAATGTTTTCTTGGTAAGCAACCAATGTAGATTAGATGTGAATTCGTCTCCCAGTGTCTGTTGGAAAGCAGACTGAACCAGGTTTTCCTCTAGGATTTTGCATGTGCTTATAGCTGTGCTCCATGTATTTCTATCCTAAGAAACGCTCTAGTCCTTGCGGATGACAAGCATACCCATAACATGATGCAGCCACCACCATGCTCGAAAATATGAAGAGTGGTACTCAGTGATGTGTTGTGTTGGATTTGCCCCAAACATAACGCTTTGTATTCGGGAAAAAAAAAAAAAAATTCTTTGCCACAATTTTTGTGCCTTGTTGCAAACAGGATGCATGTGTTGGAATATTTTTATTCTGTACAGGCTTCCTTCTTTTCACTCTGTCATTTAGGTTAATATTATGGAGATACTACAATGTCGTTGATCCATCCTTAGTTTTTCCCCTATCAAAGCCATTAAACTGTGTAACTGTTTTAAAATCACCATTGGCCTAATTGTAAAATCCCTGAGCAGTTTCCTTCCTCTCCAGAAACTGAGTTAAATCACATTTTTATTTGTCACATGCGCCGAATACAACAGGTGTAGAACTTACCATGAAATGCTTACTTACTTAACCAACAATGCAGTTCAAGAAATAGAGTTAAGAAAATATTTACTAAATAAACAAAAGTAAAAATAACAATAACAAGGCTATATACAGGGGGGTACTGAGTCAGTGTACGGGGGTACAGGTTAGTCGAGGTAATTTGTACATGTAGGTAGAGGTAAAGTGACTATCCATAGATAATAAACAGTGAGTAGCAGCAGTGTTAAAACAAAGGGGGTGGGGTCAATGTAAATAGAGATTAGAGACCGCACACCAGCTGGGGGGGTCAATGCAAACACTCCGGGTGGACATTTGATTAACTGTTCAGGAGTCTTATGGCTTGGGGGTAGAAGCTGTTAAGGAGCCTTTTGGACCTAGACTTGGCGCTCCAGTACTGCTTGCCATGCGGTAGCAGAGAGAACAGTCTATGACTTGGGTGACTGGAGTCTTTGACCATTTTTAGGGCCTTCCTCTGACACCGCCTGGTATAGAGGTCCTGGATGGCAGGAAGCTTGGCCCCAGTCATGTACGGGGCCGTACGAACTACCCTCTGTTTTGTCCAGGTGGAAAGGGCGATTGAGATTGCGTCATCTGTGGATCTGTTGGAGTGTTGTGTGAATTGGAGTGGGTCTAGGGTTTCCGGGATGATGGTGTTGATGTGAGCCATGACCAGCCTTTCAAAGCACTTCATGGCTACCGATGTGAGTGCTACAGGGCACATTTAGGCAGGTTACCTTCGTTTTTTGGGCACAGGTACTAGGAAGGATGCCTGTATCTTTGTAGTGACTGGGTGTTTTGATACACCATCCAAAGCCTAATTAATAACTTCACTGTGCTCAAAGGGATATTTAGGGTCTGCTCGAAAAAAGAAATCACATCTACCAATCGTGCCCTTCTTTTTAGGCATTGAAAAACCTCCCTGGTCTTTGTAGTTGAATCTGTGCTTGAAATGCACTACTCTTACAGATAATTGTATGTGTGGGGTACAGAGATGGGGAAGTCATTCAACAATCATGTTAACCACTATTATTGAACACAGAATGAGTCCCTGCAACTTATTATGCAATTTGTTAAGCACATGTTTACTCCTGAATTTATTTAGGTTTGACTCAAGACACTCCAGCTTAAAAAAGTATAATATATATATATATATATATATATATATATATATATATATATATATACATTGGGGAGAACAAGTATTTCATACACTGCCGATTTTGCAGATTTTGCAGTTTTTTTGCATGTAGAGGTCTGTAATTTTTATCATAGGTACACTTCAACTGTGAGAGACGGAATCTATAACCAAAATCCAGAAAATCACATTGTATGATATTTAAATAATTAATTTGCATTTTATTGCATGACATAAGTATTTGATACATCAGAAAAGCAGAACTTAATATTTGGTACAGAAACCTTTGTTTTCAATTACGAAGATCATTCGTTTCCTGTAGGTCTTGACCAGGTTTGCACACACTGCAGCAGGGATTTTGGCCCACTCCTCCATGCAAACCTTCTCCAGATCCTTCAGGTTTCGGGGCTGTCGCTGGGCAATACGGACTTTCAGCTCCCTCCAAAGATTTTCTATTGGGTTCAGGTCTGGAGACTGGCTAGGCCACTCCAGAACCTTGAGATGCTTCTTACAGAGCCACTCCTTAGTTGCCCTGGCTGTGTGTTTCGGGTCATTGTCATGCTGGAAGACCCAGCCACGACCCATCTTCAATGCTCTTACTAAGGGAAGGAGGTTGTTGGCCAAGATCTCGCGATACATGGCCCCATCCATCCTCCCCTCAGTACGGTGCAGTCGTCCTGTCCCCTTTGCAGAAAAGCATCCTCAAATAATTATGTTTCCACCTCTGTGCTTCACGGTTGGGATGGTGTTCTTGGGGTTGTACTCATCCTTCTTCTTCCTCCAAACACGTCGAGTGGAGTTTAGACCAAAAAGCTCTATTTTTGTCTCATCAGACCACATGACCTTCTCCCATTCCTCCTCTGGATCATCCAGATGGTCATTGGCAAACTTCAGACGGGCCTGGACATGCGCTGGCTTGAGCAGGGGGACCTTGCATGCGCTGCAGGATTTTAATCCATGACGGCGTAGTGTGTTACTAATGGTTTTCTTTGAGACTGTGGTCCCAGCTCTCTTCAGGTCATTGACCAGGTCCTGCCGTGTAGTTCTGGGCTGATCCCTCACCTTCCTCATGATCATTGATGCCCCACGAGGTGAGATCTTGCATGGAGCCCCAGACCGAGGGTGATTGACCGTCATCTTGAACTTCTTCCATTTTCTAATAATTGCGCCAACAGTTGTTGCCTTCTCACCAAGCTGCTTGCCTATTGTCCTGTAGCCCATCCCAGCCTTGTGCAGGTCTACAATTTTATCCCTGATGTCCTTACACAGCTCTCTGGTCTTGGCCATTGTGGAGAGGTTGGAGTCTGTTTGATTGAGTGTGTGGACAGGTGTCTTTTATACAGGTAACGGGTTCAAACAGGTGCAGTTAATACAGGTAATGAGTGGAGAACAGGAGGGCTTCTTAAAGAAAAACTAACAGGTCTGTGAGAGCTGGAATTCTTACTGATTGGTAGGTGATCAAATACTTATGTCATGCAATACAATGCAAATTAATTATTTAAAAATCATACAATGTGATTTTCTGGATTTTTGTTTTAGATACCGTCTCTCACAGTTGAAGTTTACCTATGATAAAAATTACAGACCTCTACATGCTTTGTAAGTAGGAAAACCTGCAAAATCGGCAGTGTATCAAATACTTGTTCTCCCCACTGTATATACATATATATATATATATATATATATATATATATATATATATATATATATATATATATAATAATTCCACTTCGACATTATGGGGTATTGTGTGTAGATCAGTGACACAAAATCTAAATGTAATACGTTTTTAATTCAGGCTGTAACACAACAAAATGTGGAATAAGTAAAAGGGGTGAATCCTTTCTGAAGGTTTGGATATATGCTGCCCTAACAGCTGGTTGGTAGAATCATATTCAAAATGATTCACAGCTGTGAAGGCTGCCAATAACACTGGGGTGTGAAGATATACGACGCAATCAATACATCCACATTTAGTATTTCTTAGTCATTTGGAAAATCTTTTACAATTTTTTATTTTACTTTGAAAATGTGGAGTAGGTTGTGTAGATCGATAGGGGGAAAAATCACTTTAATCCCCTTTTAGATTGAATTTTAAGGCAGCAAAATGTGAAGACAGTACAAAGGGTGTGTAGACTTTCACTAGCGACTGTAGATTGAGCTGAGGGCGGGGCTGATGGTGCTTTGCACTGGTTATAGGTTTAGGGTTTAAAGGTTATACATCTTGCCTGGCTGGACTCTAGTCCTCCCACTCCATAGGCTGGAGCCATGGGATTGGCTGATCGGGTTTCCTAGGCACGGCAGCAGGGGCTGGAGCGAAGCCTGTATGGTGCTTGGAGAGGGTGTTGGTCTGCTGCTTCTCTGTTGACCCTCTCTGTCCCACCACGGTCTGCTGTTGCTGAGCTGTGGAGCCCCTCTGCCCTGTCCCCCCCAAGGCCTTGACAATGGCCTGGTCCAGCTCCAGGGCCTCATCTGTGGCCGATCTCCCCCGGAGGAGCTGCCTGATGGTGGGCAGACCCAGGTCAGACTTACAGCCCAGGTAGCTGCGCAGGTTGAGCTCTGGGAACAGAGTTTCTCTGAGAGCCTGGACCAGCTGGGTGTCTGTGTGAGGAGGGGATCTCCCTCTGTTCAGCTGGCGAGACACATTCTGCTCGAAAGAGACGTAACACAGAATGTCCTCGCTCAGACCTGACTTCCACACAGGTTGCCTGTTCTGGTGGTTCTTCCTGGGAGAGGGGACTAGTCTGGCAGCTCCTGCACCTCCGGATGGCACCTTATTGGGCTTCAGCCACTGCTGCTTGAGGCTGTTCTGGGTCTGAGACCAGGTGTTCTGGTGGTGCTTGGACCCAGTATGGCGCTGGGTCTGGGATCCAGCCTTTCTGGTGGTTTTCGAGGTCATTCCACTTCTTGCCTGGTGCTCTGGGCTTCTTGGGCAGCAGCTGGTTGAGCCCGTCCTGATCAGCCAGGTCTGCCAGGTCTCCAACTAACAGCTGGTTGAGGCCGTCCTGATCAGCCAGGTCTGCCAGGTCTCCAACTAACAGCTGGTTGAGGCCGTCCTGATCAGCCAGGTCTGCCAGGTCTCCAACTAACAGCTGGTTGATGATCTGCCTCCTCAGGAACGGAGAGGTGACTGTCTGAACACCACCCTGCAGTCCTCTGCCTGAATCAGATACAGAGCCAAGGACATTAGAGGTTTATTAAAGTCCCAGAGGCAAGGGACATGTCCAATATGGCGTTGGCCTAGCGCATGCAGCAGGATTCCCCTTCTGAAGATAGACGGGGTACCCCCATGCAAGCCAGAGGAAGAGGAGATACAGCACTGCCATGCCAAAGAAGAGCCATAATCAGAGAGACCTGCTATTATAAAGAAGCGTACAGCCCTTGGAAATGGAAAGGGAATTTGAGTAGCTGAGAACACCATGCAGATTCCTGTCATACTGTCAGACCACAGAGCAGAGCATGGTATGTCATTCAGACTGTAATATGGTATGTGGATCTATAGTGTGTGGTGAACCGCCACTGAAAAGAGGGCTGAAGTCACATTCACGAGCGAGGGAGAGCATTTCATTTCATCTCATTCTGAAGCGGTAACGTTTAATTTCTAGAGACATGAAGCACGCCCACCTTTTAAAAGCTAATTGACGCGATCAAGTTAGAGAGGAAGTCAGGAATAAAGTGGTAATTAAGGATCAACTTGAAAAGAGAAAGTCGGGAAAAGCATCAAAGAGGACAGAGAAGCACAGTTACGGTAAGCACAAAGCAGTTACGGTAAGCACTAAGCAGTTACGGTAAGCACTAAGCAGTTACGGTAAACACTAAGCAGTTACGGTAAGCACTAAGCAGTTACGGTAAGCACTAAGCAGTTACGGTAAGCAGTTACAGTAAGCACTAAGCAGTTACGGTAAGCAGTAAGCAGTTACGGTAAACACTAAGCAGCTACGGTAAGCACTAAGCAGTTACGGTAAGCAGTAAGCGTTACTGGTAAACACTAAGCAGCTTACGGTCAAGCAGTAGCGTTACGGTAAGCAGTTACGGGAAACAAAGCAAAAACCGGTTTTGGGAAGCAGTAAATTTCGGGAAGGTTGGAAAAAAAAAGCAGACACCCCAAAAAAATAACGGTGGAAAGCCACAACCCGTTGAAAGCCCTTTGGGGACCTCCCCGAACCCCCCCCCAAAAATGCCCTAAAAAGCAAAACCCGTTCTTATAACCCCGCACACCCAGTTTTTTCCATACCCAGACCACCCCCGTTACCCCTTCCAAAACCCCCCCCAACACCCCCCAAACCAAAAACCCCCCCAACACCACCCCCCCCCCCCCACCCCCCCCCCCCCCCCCCTTCCCCCCCCACCCCCTTAACCATAAACCCCCCCACCCCTTTTCCCCCAACCCCACCACCAACCCCCCCCCAATAAAACCCAACCCCCCAACCCAAATTAATTCACCCAACCCAAAACCCCCAAATTTACCCAACCCCCCACCAAACCCCAGTTCAAAAAAAAAAAAGGGGCCAAGGCCCCCCCCCTTTACCCCCCCCCCCAAAACCGGGGTTTTTTCCCCTTTTTAACACTCAATTTCCACTACCAAACTCCCCGGTCATTCACCTTAAAAAACAAACCCCGGGGGTTTAAACCAAAAAACCCCCTTGGATTTCCCCGAAAAGGGAATTTTCCCTACTTAAATTGGGTTTTTAAACCAAGGGGAAAAAGTACTTGGGTTTCTGTTGTATTGAAAAATTTTGGGTTTTTGACAGGTAACATGGAGCTTATAGACTTTGTAGTGGTATTGTTTAGAAAAAAAAGAGTATTTTGGGAATTCGAGGTTTTGAGTATGTTTTGCAGTAGGTAAGGGGGTTTTGTTGGGATGAAGTTTGTGGGGTATGTTTAGGTTTTAGAGGGATAAGGGGTATTTTAGTACTGTAGAGTATTAGTTTCTGTGTGCTGTTTGTACTGTAGTAGCTGTTAGTTTGTTTTAGTATTTTAAATTAAATACCGTGGGATATGGGTAGTAGTACTGTATAGTCTGGGTATTTCTGGGTTTGAGTAGTAGTACTGTGGTAGTACGTTTAGTATTTTTTTTAAGGGGGGTGCGGTTTTGAAAATCCAAAAAGGGGGTTTTGAGGGGGGTGGGCCCAGACCGGGTGTTTATAAAGGTGGGAAGGGGTTAATCTGGTACCCTTTTAGTTATAAAAAGTGGAATGGAAAAGAATGGTGGAATAGAATCGGGGAAGGAAGGTATAATAGGAGGAATGGTAAATTGAAGGAAGGAAAAGAATGGAAAAAAAAACGGAGGAAGGGGAAAAAATTAAGATAAAAAGGGGTAAAAACGTGGAAGGAATTTAAAAAGGATGGAATGAAGGAATGGGGGTGGAATGGGAGGAATGGGGTTTAATTTGGAAAAAATGAGGAAAGGAAGGGAAGGAAAGGAGGTTTTTAATTTATAGGATAATAGAATAGAATGGAAAAATGGAAAAAAAGGAATAAATTTGGAAGTTTAAAGGAGAATGGGGGGTGGAAAAAAAGGGGAGGAAGAAAAAAAAGGGGTTTAAGAAGGAGGAAAATGGATGAATGAATTAAAGGATGAAAAGGAAAAAGGGAAAAATGTTAAATGGAGGGAATAAATTAAAAGCATGAAAAAAATGGATAAAAGGGGAATAAGGTTTATAAGGAAATAAATGGGGGGAAATAAACAAATGAATAAATGTAGGAGGATAATGGGTAAAAGGAATAAATGGTTTAGTGGAATAATAATGGAGGAAAGGGGGAATAAAGGAGGAAGTAAAAATGGAGGAATGGTGAATGAAAAGGAAAAGAATGGGGTAGGGGGGGTTAGAAGGGAGGAATGGTAAGAATGGAATAAACGGGAAAAATATAATGGAATTGGGATGGCAAGAATGGAATGGAATGAATAAAAGGAAAGGGGAAGGAAGGGGAAAAATGATGGATGGAAGGAAAAGAAAAAAAAGATGGAATGGATGGAATGGAGGAATGGAATAGAAGGGAATGAATGGAAAAAAAAGAATGAATGGAATGGAATGGATTTGAAGGAATGAAAGAATGGAATGGAAGGGAAGGTAAAAGGAATAAAATAATAGAAGGGAAATAGAAGGGAATGGATAAATAGAATGGAAAAAAAAAGATTAATATGATTGATGCATAGAAGGATATAGATGGAAAGAATAGAATGAATGGAAGGGAAAAGGAATAGAATGGAATAGGATGGAATAGGATGGAGTGGAATGGAATGGAGGGAAAAATTGGAATAGTGGAATATAGATGGAATGATGAATGGAATAGGATGGAATTGAATAGATGGAATGGAATAATGGATAGGGGTTGAATAGATGGAATGGAAGTAGAATTGGATTAGGATGGAATGAATAGATAGAAGGGAAATTTTTGAATGAATGGAATGAACAAAATAAATATTAATGAATAGGGGGCCCATAGAATGGAATGGAATAATGAATTTTAAATAGATGGAATGATGGATGGAATGGATGGAATGGAATGAGAAAAAAAATGTAATGAATAGGATGGAATGGAATAGAATGAATAATAGAATGGAATGAATCGGATGGAATTAAGGAAAATTAGATGGAATAGAATGAATGGAATAGAATAGAATGGAATAGAACAGAATTAATTTTTAATGGAAGGTGGCATAGAATGGAGAATAGAATAGAATGAATGGAGGGAAAGGAATAGAAAATGAGGAAGGATGACTGAATCGAAAGAATGATATGGATGGTGGGATGGAATGGAATAGAAGGATAGAATGGAATAGATAGAATAGAATGGATGGAATGGATTTGATGAATAGAATGAAGGGAAATGGAATGGAATGGATTAATGGAATAAAATTTGCTAGAATGGAATGGAATGGAATAGAAATGATAGACCAGAATATAATATAATGGAATAGGATGCCATAGAATGGCCCCATGGAATAGATGGAATAGAATAGATAGAATGGAATGGATGGAATGATGGAATAGGATGGAATAGGAGGTGGAGGGGATGGAATGGAATGGAAGGAGGATGGGAATAGATGGAATGGAATGAAGGGAATAGGATGGAAGGAATAGAATGGAATGGAATGAAATGGTAGGATGGAATGGAATAGAAGGAATGGGATGAATGGAATAGGTGGGAATGGAATAGAATGGAATGGAATGGAATGGAATGGGGAGGGGAATGATGGAATGGAATGGGATGGAATAGGATGGAATATAATAGAATGGATAGAATGGTATAGAAGGATTAATGGAATGAAGGAAATTTTTGGGATAGAACAGAATTATGATATAATGATAGGATGGATAGAATGGAATGGATAGATGAATGAATGGAATAGAATAGTATGGAATAGAACGGAATGGATAGAATGGAGGATAGGATGAAATGATGGATAAATAGATGGAATAGATGAATGGAAGGGAAATTTAGAAGGGAAATTTGAACAGATTTTAATATAATGAATAGGATGGCATAGATGGAATGGAATAGATGGAATAGAAGAATGGAATGAATAGAATGGATAGGATGGAATAGGATGGATGAAGGAATAGAAGGAATAGGATGGAATGGATAAATGAATGGATAGATGGAATGGATGAATGGAATAGAATGAAGGGAATGAAGGAATGGAAGGAAGGAATGGAATAATAGGATGGAATGGATTAGAACAGAATATAATTATAATGGAATAGGATGGCATAGAATGGAATGGAATAGAATGGAATAGAATGGATAGAATAGAAGGGAAAATAATGAATAGATGCATAATGGAATAGGTAGGATTGGATAGGATGGAATAGAATAGAATGGAATAGGATGGAATAGAATGGAATAGATGATTACATTTAAAACAACAAATGGTTTCACTAACCATGCCAAAAACCATTGGGAAAAAAGCCCAAATCTGTTTTTTAAAACCATTGATGATTGGGGAATGATCGAACGTGGATTGAATTCCCCGACCTGCAGCAGGGGGCCCAACAGTTGGGTTAGTGGTGCTCATTGACAGACAGTCCCAAATCACTCCCTACCCCTCCACTTGGCCCTATCCCTTTGATGTTTGCAGATTTGTAAGGTGTAAGAATCCAAGAATTATGACCGAGGGGAAAGGTTAAGGAGCAATTTGGAACGGGGTAAAGCGGGGGTGAGCGCCACTCCTTTTATTTCCCCGCCCTCTCCCTCTCCTTCCCTCCTCCACCTCTCCAAAGCGCCCCACCCCCCCAGACCCAAACGCCGCCGCCCCCCCCCCCCCCCCCCGCCACCCCCCACCCGCCGCCCCCAACCCCCCGCCCGACCCCACCCTGCCGCCCCCCGCCCTCCCCCCGCCCCCCTCCCCGCCCCCCCGGTAGCCCCCCCGAAAGGAACCGCCCCCCAGACGAAGAGCCCCGGACGGCCCGGGCCGCCCCCCCCCCCGCGCCCCCGGCCCAGGGACGCCGGAAGGAAAGCCCCGCCCGACCCACTGAGAAAGGAACCCCGGGGGGGCCAGCGGACGGGGCCCCCCCCAAACCCGGGACCAACGCGCCCCGCCCTCAGCCCCGATCCCCCCTACCCAGACCCCCTCCGGCCCGCCCGCCGCCAACCCCCCGCCGCACAGGCCCCCGGGGGCCCGCAATGATAGCCGGGCCCCCGGGGCCAAACATCACCCTCACCCCATCCATGGGCCCTCCCCTCTCCAAACAAACCCTTCCCGCTTCATCCCCCCTCCCTCTTCCCACCTCCCCTTTCCTTTCCTTCCTTCCTCTATCCCTCTCCTATCCTCTCCATTCCCATCACCGTCCTCTTCTCTCTCTCCTCTCTCCCATCTCCTCTCCATTCCCTCCCCTACCCTACCCCTACCCCTACCCACCTCTATCAGAACTCCCAGTACAGCCAGGCCGTCTGACTTGTCTGCTGCCACAGAGATGTTGGGGTACTTGTCTGAGTTGAAGAGCACCATATGCATCTGTGGAGAGACAATGGGAGAGAAGTCAGGATCCCATGTTTATTTGATTTATTTTACCTTTATTTAACTAGGCAAGTCAGTTCAGAACAAATTATTATTTACAATGACGGCCTACACCGGCTAAAGCTGGACGACGCTGGGCCAATTGTAACAACAAACACTCATGTTACCATCAGTCATAGGGTCATGTCAATAATATATAACCCTAACTCTAACTAGTCTTGTCTAGTTTATCAGGGTAATGTCAGTTGGTATAAGCCTAGGAACCTAGCCTGGCATGCAGTGCATTCGGAAAGTATTCAGACCCCTTGACTTTTTCCACATTTTGTTACGTTGCAGCCTTATTCTAAACTGGATTAAATTGTTCATTTTCTCATCAATCTACACACAATACCCCATATTGACAAAGCAAAAACAGGTTTAGATTTTTTTAATCAAAAATATATACAAAACTTACTGAAATTTCACATTTACATAAGTATTCAGACCCTTTACTCAGTACTTTGTTGAAGCACCTTTGGCAGCGATTACAGCCTCGATCCTTCTTGGGTATGACGCCACAAGCTTGGCACTCCTGTATTTGGGGAGTTTCTCCCATTCTTCTCTGCAGATCCTCTCAAGCTCTGTCAGGTTGGATGGGGAGCGTCACTGCACAGCTGTTTTCAGGTCTCTCCAGAGATGTTCAATCGGATTCAAGTCTGGGCTCTGGCTGGGCCAATCAATGACATTCAGAGACTTGTCCCGAAGCCACTTCTGCATTGTCTTGGCTGTGTGCTTAGGGTCATTGTCCTGTTGGAAGGGGAACCTTCGCCACAGTCTGATATCCTGAGCGTTCTGGAGCAGGTTTTCATCAAGGATCTCTCTGTACCTTGCTCCGGTCATCTTTCCCTCGATCCTGACTAGTCTCCCATTCCCTGCCGCTGAAAACATCCCCACAGCATGATGCTGCCACCACCATGCTTCACCGTAGTGATGGTGCCAGGTTTCCTCCAGACGTGATACTTGGTATTCAGGCCAAAGCGTTGAAACTTGGTTTCATCAGACCAGAGAATCTTGTTTCTCATGGTCTGAGAGTCCTTTAGGTGCCTTTTGGCAAACTCCAAGCGGGCTGTCATGTGCTTTTTACTGAGGAGTGGCTTCCGTCTGGTCACTCTACCATAAAGGCCTGATTGGTGGAGTGCTGCAGAGATGGTTGTCCTTCTGGAAGGTTCTCCCATCTCCACAGAGGAAGTCTGGAGCTCTGTCAGAGTGACCATCGGGTTCTTGGTCACCTCCCTGAAGAAGTTATTTCAACCCCAATTGCTCAGTTTGGACGGGCGGCCTGCTCTAGGAAGAGTCTTGGTGGTTCCAAACTTCTTCCATTTAAGAATGATGGAGGCCACTGTGTTCTTGGGGACCTTCAATGCTCCAGAAATTTATTGGTACCCTTCCCCAGATCTGTGCCTCGACACAATCCTGTCTTGGAGCTCTACGGACAATTCCTTCGACCTCATGGCCCTGTGTAGCTCAGTTGGTAGAGCATGGCGCTTGCAACGGCAGGGTTGTGGATTCGTTTCCCACGGAGGGCCAGTATGAAAATGTATGCACTCACTAACTGTAAGTTGCTCTGGATAAGAGCGTCTGCTAAATGACGTAAATGTAAAATGTAAATGTTTTTGCTCTGACATGCACTGTCAACTGTGGGACCTTTATATAGACAGGTGTGTGCCTTTCCAAATCATGTCCAATCAATTGAATTTACCACAGGTGGACTCCAATCAAGTTGTAGAAACATCTCAAGGATGATCAATGGAAACAGGATGCACCTGAGCTCAATTTCGAGTCTCATAGCAAACGGTAAAAATACTTATCTAAATAAGGTATTTCTGTTTTTATTTTTAATACATTTGCAAACATTTCTACAAACCTGTTTTCTCTTTGTCATTATGGGATATTGTGTGCAGATTGATGAGGAAAAATATATATTTAATCAATTTTAGAATAAGGCTGTAACGTAACAAAATGTGGATAAAGTCAAGGGGTCTGAATACTTTCCCAATGCACTGTATACAAAAGTATGTGGACACCCTTTCAAATTAGTGGATTAGGCTATTTCAGCCGTTGCTGACAGGTGTATAAAGCCGAGCACACAGCCATGCAATCTCCATAGACAAACATTGGCAGTAGAATGGCCTTACTGAAGAGCTCAGTGACTTTCAACGTGGCACCGTCATAGGACGCCACCTTTCCAACAAGTCAGTTCGTCACATGTCTGCCCTGCTAGAGCTGCCCCGGTCAACTGTAAGTGCTGTTATTGTGAAGTGGAAACGTCTAGGAGCAACAACGGCTCAGCCGCGAAGTGGTAGGCCACACAAGCTCACAGAACGGGACCACAGAGTGCTGAAGCTCGTAAAGCGTAAAAATAATCTGTCCTGGTTGCAACACTCACTACAATGTTCCAAACTACCTCTGGAAGCAACTTCAGCACAATAACTGTTCGTCGGGAGCTTCATGAAATGGGTTTCATGGCTGAGCAGCAGTGGTGTAAAATACTTAAGTAAAAATACTTGAAAGTACTACTTAAGTCGTTTTTTGGAGTATCTGTACTTTACTTTACTATTTATATATTTTTAAACTTTTATTTTTACTTCACTACATTCCTAAAGAAAATATTGTACTTTTCACTCCATACATTTTCCCTGGCACTCAAAAGTACTTATTACATTTTGAATGCAATTCACGCACTTATCAAGAGAACATCCGTGGTCATCCCTACTGCCTCTGATCTGGCGGATTCACTAAACACAAATGCTTCGTATGTAAATTATGTCTGGGTGTTGGAGTGTGTTTTAGCTATCCGTAAATAAAAAAAACATGGTACTCCCTGTATATAGGAATTTGAAATGATTTATACTTTTACTTTTACTTTTGATACTTAAGTATGTTTTACTAATTACTTTTAAAACTTAAGTATATTTAACACCAAATACTTTTATACTTTTACTCAAGTAGTATTTTACTGGGTGACTTCCACTTTAACTTGAGTCATTTTATATTAAGGTATCTTTACTTTTACTCAAGTATGACAATTGGGTACTTTTTCTACCACTGCCGAGCAGCCCCACACAAGCCTAAGATCACTGGGTTTGGCGGATGCCAGGACAACGCTACCTGCCCCAAAGCATAGTGCCAACTGTAAAGTTTGGTGGAGGAGGAATAATGGTCTGGGGCTGTTTTTCATGGTTCGGGCTAGGCCCCTTAGTTACAGTGAAGGTAAATCTTAACGCGACAGCATACAATGACATTCTAGACGATACTGTGCTTCCAACTTTGTGGCAACAGTTTGGGGAAGGCCCTTTCCTGTTTCAGCATGACAACTTCCCCATGCACAAAGCGAGGTCCATATAGAAATGGTTTGTCGAGATCGGTGTGGAAGAACTTGACTGGCCTGCACAGAGTCCTGACCTCAACCCCATCGAACACCTTTAGGATGAATTGGAATGCCGAATGCGAGCCAGGCCTAATCGCCCAACATCAGTGCCGACCTCACTAAATCTCTTGTGGCTGAATGGAAGCAAGTCCCCACAGCAATGTTCCAACATCTAGTGGAAAGCCTTCCCAGAAGAGTGGAGGCTGTTATAGCAGCAAAGGGGGGACCAACTCCATATTACAGTTTTTTACAATCACTTTGGCACTAATTTCAGAACCTTGATGTCATTTTTCAAAACTCTAGACACAAAACTCACAACCAATGATCAAAATGCAAATTTTTCAAAACTCTAACAATTTTTTCAATTGCTTGGATACAATACACATAAAACTAAGATCATTTGTTCATTTAACAAAAGTCACCTGTTCAATATGACACAACTTAACATCAAAGTACTACTATTTCAAAAGGCAATTCACACATTACATTTCAGATGAGTGTCTATTCATTTCATTATAATTATCCAACTATCAATTGATACAACTGCTCAAAATGATAAGTAACTGTTGCATTGCTCTTAATGCATAGTTGTATGGAAACAGACAAACTATATTCCATGTTTAGATCATGAAGGTTTCAAGATAACGAGATTCATTGTCACCAATTAGCGTGGAGCATGAACCAATTAGACTACATTATCTATGGATGTAATATTTCATCATCATTCTTTATCAGACACCGTTTCTATGGTCCCATGTACCACCTTTTCAGACTATTTACAGTATTGACAGTACAGCACTGTATGGATGCAGGCCCTTGTAATTGCTTGTCCAATTCTGCCAACTCGTTACTGATGATTGAGTTCACATTGTGGAACGAGAATATAAAGAATTGATTGGGATCCACTTGCAACAACATAGCGATACGTACTGTAACATGGAGCCGGCAGGTGATCCAGGTCACAATAGAGGTCAAGCAGTGGTGGGAGGAAGACGAGGAAGACGTGTTGGTCAAAGGAATGGCAGGGGACAAGCACCCCTTCTGAGAGGTGGTCGTGGGCCTCGTTTGAGAGGTGTGGGGGAACGTGGTAGAGGACAAGGCCACGGACCAAGACAGCGGCAGCAACAGCAAAGAGTGTCCAATGAAATCCGAGCAATAGTTGTAGACCATGTCATAAATCATGGCATGACAATGACTGAGGCGGCTACAATGATACAACCCAACCTCAGAAGGTCAACCGTGGCCTCAATAATCAGAACTTTCCGCAATGAGAACCGGTAAGTCGTCAGCATGCACTAAACATTATGCTACTCTCAATTGTCAAATGACTGCATACCAATGTGTTTCACAGAGTAGGTGATGTGACCAAGTGTCTTCTTACTGTAATGTTCCCTGTAGAATTGAGACTAGGCCAAATAGGAGAGGCAGAGGCAAAATTCTGACTGACCAACAAGAGCAGGCTGTGGTCGATTTGGTTCGGGCCAGAAAATATATTCGCCTTACAGAAATTCGCCAGCATCTCTTCGACAATGAAGACATGTTTAACAATGTGGAATCCATAAGT